TTGTAAGGGCATATACTGCATAAGGCCATTATTGTAAAAATAGAGAGATAACTAGTAAAATGTGTATGGGAATCCAAGGGGGAACAGGGTGGAGACAGAGGGGTGAGGATGGGTAGAGGGGAAATCATAGTGTTACACAATCTGGTGGGAGGGAGGAAGGAAGGGGAATAAGGGAAATGGGAAAGATCGGGCTGGGACCTGAAAAGACAGGGTAATGATGGGCATAATTCAATGGGGATTTAGTTTACAAAACACAATGTATGGGAATGATTGTCTGAAACAATGTGAATGAAGGAAAGTGTGACACACATGTATATGAATTTTGTATTCAAACTAATAGAATTTTTTTTCATTCCTAAAAAAAAAAACACAACAAAACAAACAACGTAACATTGGGCAAATCTGCTGTCAAGGATATCTTTAAAGTGCTAAAGAGGAAGAATGTTAGTATAAAGAGTTAAGATGCACGCACCTAACTCAAGTTGAGGTTATTTTCACTTGCTTCCTATGATTCAGTGACTAGGGTCATGGGTTTAGGTGTTTCAATGACAAGATTGGCACAGGATAGAGCAAGGTTTAGGGCTATTGTACATAGGGTGGCTATGAGTCACAGGAGACTCGATAGCACATAACAACAACTAATTATCGAATCTGAAATTTGGACGATTAAGGAAGACAGAAGGAGAATGATGCCTTTGAATTGTGGCATTGACAAAGAGTATTAAATATATAATGAACTGCCAATATAGCACACAAATTCGTCGTGGTGGTCCTTAGAAGTAAGGATGGTGAAACTTCATCTATTTTGGGGATGCTGTCAGGAGGGGCCAATCTTTGGAAAAGAGAAACCGTTCTGGGAAAGGTTGAGAGCTGGTAAACGAACATTTTTTTTTTAAAGAAGACTTTCAATGAGATAGACTGTCACAGTGACTGCAAAAATGGACTTGAGTATGGTGAAGATTTTTGCGAATGGCAGAGGCTAGGGCAAGGTTTCAAAATTTTATTCAACCTGGATGTTAGGTATTAGGGTCAACACGTCCGCACCTAAACAACGCTTTCTCATAAGGCAAGCAGGCAGCAAGAGTCCAAATTTTTTTCACCCTCAGGAATGCAGTACCCTTTCCCTTAGCCCTTTCCCAGGCTGGCTTTATTACTTATCTCTTAGCACTTCTCAAATTAAGTATCACTTCCTCAAAGGGACCCTCTAAAGTGCATCCCATTGTTGCAGGTATCTTAATTTTCCCCATAGCACTGCTCTCACAAGGTTCTAGTTGCAACCAATTCACTAGCTTTGGGTTTGGGTTGGGTTTTGTTTTAATGAAAGGACACATTAACGAAAGCAATCTTCTAAGGAGGGCCAAACTGTAAAGTTTTGCCTTTGACTCCATCTTGAGAAGCTGATGGCACTCATCTTCCTTTGAATCTAGGCACTCAGATATGTTTTAAAAATGAATGCTTGCCAATCCTCCCAACACTTCCCGCCCCCACGGGAGTTTTAATGAAAGTTCAAATAACTTACCTAACTGGGTTTGGGATCGAGGGAATTCTAAGTTGGCTCAAAACTACATGAAAGGAAAGGAAGTGGTTTGAAGCATACGTGAGATGCCTTTGGTTTGGGTTCTTAGTTAGAAACCCCCCTCCCCCAGCCTCTAACGGCTGTAGCCCCTTCCAGTCATTTTGGCCTTAGGTTCAGGGGTCAAAGAATCCACTTTAATTATTCATAAGAAAGAGGGCGGCACTATGAGAGCTAAGACTGTTTGCTATTCATGAGGGGGCGGAGTCTCTTTACCGCAGAGGCTTCTGGAACTATCTAATTTATGAGGGAAAGGGCACGTGGTAGGTCGGGCTGCTTCTTATTTATCAGGGGGCGGGGCTTCCCCCCCCCCGGGGGCTTCAGGGAGGGTTCTAAATTATTCATGAGGAAGGAGGGAGCAGCCCGGGAGTTGGTGTTACTTGCTATTCATGAAGGGCGGGGCCTCCTTCCCGCTGGGGCTCCTGGGAGGGTTCTAAAATATTCCAGAGACCACGGGGGCGCTAGCGTGGTGGGCTGGGCTCCTACGCGCACCGAACCGAGCGTCCCTCTTCCTGGCGGGAAAACCTTGAGGGGGGAAAAAAAAAAATTTAAACATTAAGAAATTTGAGGATGGTGGAACAAAAGGACTAAATTTCATTTTCCTGTGAATCTTTAGCCGGAAAACTGTCAAAACTTGTGGTAAAAAGATTTTCTCCCCCATTATTTTCTTGAGGTGATGAATTTAACTTTACATGGCCTGAAGGAGTAAACATATGTATTATAGTTTGATTCGAATATTGGCCAGTTTCTTTTGTATGGTCTCCTTAATTTACCACTTTGGAGATGTTTGGGGTCAAAAGCCGAGCAGATGGAGTGGGAGTCTTCAAAGGGTTTTTAATACAAAATCCCAATTAATTGCTATTTGACTTTTTTTTTTCTTCTGAAAAAGAGGAAAAAAATCCTTTCTAGAAGGCTCTTAACGTAGCCAGCGATCACTGGAGAAGAGGCAGGGACTTTGAAACATCATTCTTTTTGGTTTGTGATTCTCTTCCTCTAATTGGGGTTACTTTGGATTTGGATTTTCAGATTTCCAGGAAAGCCTTCTGTTTAACCCAAAATGTTCAGATCTGAGTAAGGAAAAGAAGACTTTTGAGAGGAACCATCCATTTAAAAGATTTTGAGGCCCATTTTAGTCTTCTTAATGGTTTATTACTAAAGAAACTTAGTTGCTGAGTCTGAAGTGCCCAGGGAACCAGGTATCAGCTGAGTGTCTAAAGACGCTTAAATCTATTTTAGAAACAGATTGGGGACAGATTTATATTTTACTATAATAAAAATGCTTTAAGATGTCAAGCGTGAAAAATTGAAATCCTAGTAAAATTCTCACATGGTGAAATTATACACAGCCATTAAGGTGTGTGTGTGTGTGTAATTGTGTGTATATATTTTTATATTTATTAACAAAAGGAAATTGCAATGTGGTATTAACTGAAATAAAGCTGATTGTAAAATACTATGAATCACGTCATATCTCCCCTTGTTAAAAATCAACATCTTAAGTCCTGGAAGGGTATAAATCCAAAGGTTGTAAGTTAATTTCATTTTCATCTAGCTCCACTTTTGCTAATTTTTCAAAAAATATCTACTAACTTTAATGCTCATTGAATGCTGACGTTTCAGATGATGCTTTTCTCTAAGCACTAAATTTCAGTGTAATTATTTCAAATATATAACTATTCTTTAATTGGTACAGGTTGATATGTAACGTTTATTATAGGAGTACGCAATGAGGGTTGCAGAGTGGATTATATTTGGGGTTAGGGGTGGGGTTTGGCAAGGTGTGGGGGGGGATTGTGTACCAATGAGGCAATGAGGGAGTTTTTCTTTTGCTTTTCAAGGAGAGGAGCAAACGAAACGGGGAGGGGGGGAGGGTGTGGTGTGAGGTGGGGTGGGCGGGGAGAAGGGTGCAACAATGAATGAATGGAATTCCCCCCCCAAAAAATAAATAAAAAATGAGTAAGTAACAAAGTGATTTTTGCAAAGAAAAAAATACTTTTTGGTCAGTTATATTTCTAACTCTTTGAGAACTATCTTAGATGTTACTTCAGAAACAAAGAGATAGAAAACACAAAAGAATACTGTTTTAATTGGAAAAATAAAGTGGTATAAAGTCACTGTATAGGACACATAATAGAGTGATTTTTTTTAAAAAGAGTTATTGTTTTGTGTAAGTAATCAGTGATTTTTAATAAATTCCTTTAGGAGATTTTCATGTTTGAAATCAAATTGCACATTTTTAAATCAAGTTGTACACGTTCTAAGATTTATCAGTAACTATATCAGAGATCATGAAGATGGCACAGGATGGGGCAAGGTTCAGTCAGATCTGTTGTTCATGAGTAATGAGTCTTGGTCAACTTGAGGGCACCTAACAACAACATTAACTATAAAAAGTAGAATTGCAGGGAAAGCTGTTCTTATTTCCTTTACTTATGTTTTGCTTACTAATTTGTCATGACTTACTTTCACTGCTTATTTGTGTAGAGCATATAATGTAATAGCAATGCAGCCTAGTTGTTTTAGTTACTAATTATATAGCTCTAAACTTAGTCATTATTTTAATTTCTTTGTTTTTACTGTTTCCAAGAAAAGATCATGTCTACCCAATTTTAATTATTTTTGTTTTTAAATATGCAACACTTCACAGATTTGCATGTCATCCTTGCACAGGGAACATGCTAATCTTCTCTGTGTCATTCCAATTTTAGTATATGTGCTACCAAAGCGAGCACTCAACTTTAGAAGAAAGAATATAAAGTTTAAAACTACCGCAATACCTTATTTTCTTATAAAGATTGTAAAAATAACTTACTAACAATAGATCATATATTCTATCACTTATTTTTAAAAATTATTGTTTAAATGTTACCAGGTAACTTTTTATTCCAACATTCACTACAGTTTGTTCTTTTTGTTTTTTTCATTCAATCATTTTGTTGTTATTGTTGTTGTTATGTGCTGTCAAGTTGCCTGCTACTCATAGTGACCCTATGTACAATTTTGTAACATTATTAAAATTGATTCGTGTAACTCATTAAATGTAATGTCTAATCACCTTTCACTCAATGTCATAATGATTTTTGTGTTAAATCTCTTACTATTTTTTCTATTTTACTATTTATTTTCTTAGAATATATTTCATCCAAATACACACATGTGTATATCTCATTTTCATCTAAAACTTTTATTCTTCTATTTAGAGTTAAGTGATAAGTTTCTGATGAATAATTTTGAAATATTCGTCTGATATGCTAAGATGAATAAATAGAATTTATTTTTGGAAAATCTCAAATGTTGGACATCATATTAAAACTTTAGTATATATGGAGAAAGAGCTATCTAAGTAACAATTTTTCATTAAAGACTAATTCTTTATTACTTTAATATACTTTCTTCTTTGTTATTTGTGCTTTGTTTTTCTAAGCAGGAAAAGCTGATGAGATAAGGAAAAAAAAATGACATCCAGAACAAATACCAACTTCACTTTGATTCCCAAACAGAAATATAGACGAAGTTATCGTCGGTTTAGCTATCTTTCCAAAGGCTTTGACTCTGATTCTCAACCCTTATCAACCTTTGGAAATTTTAAAGCCTTACCATTGGAAATATTTCAAATAATATTAAGATATTTAACAGGTGAGATTTGGGGGCTATATGAGTGGGCTATAGAACTTACAGTAATATGTATCATCTCTAGTCTTGCTAAATGTTACTGGAGTTCACATTAAGTTTATTTTTATGTTTCAACTTTATTAGCTAAGACTATAATGAGAAAATATGATACTCAAACTCTTAGAAGCATACTTCTAGTTATAATGACATGATAACTTCATTGTTAAACCAGTATGTTTGTAGTATATTGGAAACTGGCTTTAAATTCTTTTAAGATTTTTTCCAGTTATGATTATTATTAATTAGTTAGTTTATAAGTTAATATCCTGTTGTCATATTCTTGACTATAAACCTTTTTTCCCCCTCTTCTTGTAGTAAAAGATATCAGCATGCTAAGTATGGTGTCCAAAACAGTCAGCCGACACATTATTAATTATATCTCAAGCTCATCAGGAAACAAACGACTTTTACTACAAGACTTTCATAAAATTGAGCTGTCTGACGGGAGACAAGACTTTGCTATATTGGAACACTATAGATCACTAGGTAATTTATAAGAATTGTAACAAGTAAAGAGCTATGCTTAGTTCAGGGAATTTTATCATACCAGTTTAGAATACTGATGCATTTTACTTGTTTCACTTTCTCTGGATCTTGTGAGTTTATTTCTCTATCTTTTTTTCTTTTTCAAACATAATCTAGTCCTAAAAATAGAAAAAAAATTAAACACATGATTGTGGAAGATCAGTTCTCTTATCAGAAAATATGGATGGTTTCCTTTCTAAAAATCTCTCAGTGTATTTATCAATAAATTATTATGCTATAATTAAATTGACCTTATTAAAACAAGTTCCATATTATTATCTTTATCCCTTTAGTTTGTATTCGTTAATTTTTTTTCACCCCCATTCATTGGTTTCATTCTTCCTAAGAGTGTGGAAATGGTATTCTACCACCTTATACTTAACCAAAGCATATTAATAAAACCAAACATGAAAGTGATGTCAATAATTAAAATAATAAATTAATCTAAGTGAATAATACCATTTAGCAAGGATGCCTAAGACAATCTTTAAGACAATTTTTTATATATTTATGTGTTTATATATGTGTGTATACATGTATATTTCTATGTATATCATACATATATGGGTATATTTACTTATAGAGGTAAGTGTAATAAGTTCCTTTACTTTTGTTCAGTGACATTGGCTACATTCATCACATTGTGTCAACACTGTCATTAGTTTTTTTAATTTAGTTTTTATTTGAGTGAAAGTTTACAATGTATCAATTTTTCATACCATCATTCATAGACATTTTGTTTTCTAACATTACCATTACCACTGATTAATGTATTATAATGTCCAATCAACCCCTTATATTTTTCTTCACCCAATTTAACTACTTATTAGTTTTTCTTTCTCTTTCCCTCTCTTCTCATTTCTGTTAAATCTCCAGAATTGATTCTATCTGTATGTAAACCTTTCCAGAGCTTTTGTTAATAGTCATATACTGTAATTTTTTTTTTGTGACTGACTTCCATCATTTAGCATAATTTGTTCTAGATTCATCCATGTTGTTCTGTATTTCACAAATTCTTGATCATTTTTAAGTGATGCATAGTACTCCATTGTGTGACTCCACTGTTTTTTTAGGCATTTTCCCATTGATGAACAGCAAGTTCTGGTGGCCTAGTGGTAAGAAGCTGCACTGCAATCCAGAAGGCATGTGGTTTAAATCTACCAGCTGTTTGATTTACTGCCTCTGAAAATCCACTGGAGGGTTGTTGATTCTGGCTCAGTAGCTGTATAAGATGCAATGTAGGGGTGGCCAAGTGTGACTTCTACTCGCTTCATAAAGGGGAACTGTCCCCAACAATAATATCCATAGTATCATATATATAACTACATCCCAGGCATGCCACCCTACATGTTCCTGCACCTATTTCTACCAATCATTTGGTCCAATGTTTGTTGCAACTTAACTCACAGACATTACTCAACAGTTGCAGAGTTTATTAGAGAAATAAGTTGCAGAGTAGAGGTTGCTGTTGTTGTTAGGTGCTGTTGAGTTGTAGACAACTCATAGTGACCCTATGAATGAAAGACCTGAACGCTTGTATAGCTTTCATCATTTCTCTAAGTTCATAGAGTTTCCAGAGGTACGCTATTTCGGAACTGGATGCCACTCCTGCTTCCAAGCCTGTTTTAATCTGAGAGCTCCACTGAACACTGTCCACCATGAGTAACCATTATCACATTTAACACACCACTGTCACAGTATTTAGCATCACAGTAACCACGAGAATAGGGGAGGCAAAGAATATCACACAATGCAAGTCCAAGTTTAGTCTAGCAGTCTTTTGCCCATAAAATTATATATTTTATATCCATCAATCTATAACTGACAAGTGTATTTGATAAGATAGACTGAAAAGTGTGTTATCTGATTGACTACATTATTGGCTTAAATATTTCTGATACAGGCTTAGTAAAGCCTTGATAGATATGCCAATTTGTGCTATGTTTTTGCAAACACTGTTAATTGCACAAGAAGTGGCTTGGGAGTACATACTTTGTTTTTTATTGATACCTTGGAGTGTGTGTGAGCAAGATTTTATTGCTTGAACAAAATGAAACATTAAGACATCTATGTAGATAATTAAGTTAAAATTACAAATGTGGTTGTTATATGTCCTGTCAAGTCAGAATTACCTCAAGGCATAATCAATAGAGAGTTGCACTGCTAACCTAAAAGCAGCCAGTTTGAATCCACCAGCATCTCTGAGGGAGAAACATAAGCAATCTCCTCTTGTGTGATTTACAGCCCCTGAAAACCTTCTGGAGGGTCAACTATGAGTTGGCTCTGATTTTAATGAAAGTTTGCAGAGACTTAGGGTTTACAGTAATTCATTGTTGTACTTTTCTCCCTGCCTACCCCTCCCCCCCAATTCACTCTTCTCCTTGAAAAGTAAAAGAAAAAGTGTTTCATTGTTATGCAATCCCTCCCCCCAAGTCCACTCCACTCTGCAGCCTTCATTCTGGACTCCTGTCATGACAATAATACCCAATCATGTATCCCTTTTAAACAGTTCTTGCCCTCGTCTGTTTCAATGCAATATACATCATTCATCCCTCCTTCTCTGTCTTCCCTCAACCCCAATGTCAGTCTCTTTTTACAACAGTGGTCCTATGCAATATTTGTCCTTTTGTGACTGAGATATTTCACTCAGCATGTCCTCCAGAGTCACCTACTTTGAGTCTCTTGTTTTTCAATGCTGCATAGTATTCCATTGTGTGAATATACCAGAGCTTCTCCATTCATTTGTTGCTGGGCACTTGGGTTGTTTCCAGCTCTTTGCTATTGTGAACAAAGTCGCAATAAATATGGGTATGCATATATCTGCTTGGGTGGCTAAGGTTTGTTTTGTTTTGTTTTTTAAACTCGTCCTTCTATGGTTTTATTAATGCAATGCCTTAAACCTTGCTTTTCATTTTTTATGGACATCAGGTTTGTCACTGACTCTTCACATAAATATTTGATGTACATATCATTCTATCATATTGCCATTCCTGTCTGATCTGGCTTTGTTTTCAGACAATAAAATAACATTTTCAGAATCTTGCACTCTGAAGATTATAAATTATAATTTGCTTCTTCATATAAAGCAGAGCAGATGGCCAGTGTGGAGAGAACATTACATCTGACTCTATTTTTGTGGAGAAGAAATCAAAGAAGTTGATCTCTAAAGGGTATATCAAAGCACCTGTGTTAAAAAAAGAAAAAGAAGGCATTCAGTACTGGTTTGTATAGTAATTGCAACTCTTCAAAATAGGAGTTTTACATCAGAAAGGTAACCAATACAACAATTATAGCTTTACACTCCTCAGCTATGGTATGATGTGGGAATGGATAACAAAGTATGAAAGGAAAAGAACTTGACTGCCTAAAAACCAAACACTGAACATGTCTTTTTATGAACAAAAATAAAGAGGATTTATGTTTAAAACTCAGTTCTGGTCATATGTTACCCAAACATAGCAACTTCTAAAACTAATTTGATTCCTACAGATTCTACAGAATTATGTAAAGTAATATATTATGTAAAATGCAGAAAAGATAAAAACTGAAGTAATAATGTTCAGATGTTTCTTAAACTATATCTTACTTTAAATTTAAGGACATCTAATAGGAATGCTAGCAATGTATTACCATTTTAGGAAAATAGACCACTTAGAGTCAGAGAAAAGTAATCATACACTTCCTGTCACTGTAGTTCAAGTTACATATTTCACTGAGAAATAGAGAATTTTTTTAAAAAAAATTTAATACTTAAATAGTCTTATACATTCTTAACATGAAAGCTCCATAAAAGGTTGTTTTTGAAGGAAGAGATAGATATTTAATCTACATTGGGTACTTTCTATAAATAAAAATTGCTTCAAACTTATGAAAATTTAAGTATTTATGACCTCATATTTTTTTATTTGGTAAAAAGGAATACAAAATCTTCCTCATTCTTGTCATATTTTATATTAATAACTATTAAAACATTTTCTTTGGGGGAGCTCTGGTGGCCTAGTGGCAAGGAGCTGCAACTACAATCCCAGAAGTGCACGGTTCGAATCCACCAGATGCTCTGCCGGGGAAGGAGGGACAATCTTCTCCTGTACCAGTCAGATCTGATTTGACAGTACACACACACAAAAATTTCAAAACAAAACAAAACAAAAACAAAAAAACATTTTCTTTATGGATATGAGGTTAATTTCAAGGGATATTAGAATTTGTTTTCTTTGAATAAAAAAAAATCAAGTTTTCCTAGTATATTTTTATGTTTTATTATCTTTTAAAATTTACGTATTTTTTACATCTGCCCTATTGTATCAGTTTTACATTTTTTACAAAGTTCTGTGCCAATGCCTCTTAGATGGACATTAGCATCACTTAATATACTTCATATTTTACAAGAACTTTGCATTCTTCCTTATAAACTTTCCTTTATACAAACTACATCAGCTATTATTCAGCCATAAAGAAAAATGACGTTCTAGTATATGCTATCACATGAATGAGCCTTAAAATATTATACTGATCGATCATAGGTTGCACAGTTTGGTGGGTGGAGGGAGGGAAGGTAAAGGAAATGGGAAAGATCTGACAGGGATCTGGAAAGACAGAGTAATGGAAGACAAGGTGCAGTGGCAATTAATTTTATGAAGCATAATGAATGGGAATGATTTTATGCAATACAGTATGAATGAAGGATAGTGTGAAGCACAATGTATATGGACTTTGTAAGCAAACTAATATGAAAGAAAAATTTTTTAAAAAGAAAAACAGACCAAAAAGATCTACATTGTAAAATACATATACATTATAAAATCCATAAAATACTGAGTGAAATGGAAGACACATAAGAACAAATACTGTACATTCCCCCTTACCGAAAATAACTACACTAGGCAAATGCATAGAGTCTATTAGTGGTTACCAGGAGCAGGTGGCAGAAGGAAATGGCTTGTTAACAAGTAATAGAAGATACTGAGGTTTTGTTAAAGATGACAGAAAATACTGGAAATAGATAATGGTGATGGTTGTACAATATGAGGAGCATAATTAATATCACTGAATTATACATGGAATAATGTTTGAAATGGTAATTTTATTATAACACTTCTGCCACAATTTAAATTATTATGTTATTGTTGTATACCATTGAGTCGGAACTGACCCATAGCTGACCCTCTGCAGGTTTTCAGAGGCAGTTAATTGCACAGGAGGCGATTGCCCATCCTTCTGCGAGAAGCTGGTGGCCTCGAACTTCATGTGTTCAGGATTGCAGCTTCTTGCCACTAGACCACCAGAGCTCCCCAAAACTAATATATACCAACCAATTAGCTAGTGCCCACTATAATATTCCCATACTTGACTCTTAGGAAAAGTTTGGCTGTGTTTAAATATTAAATGTATTGCATTGTCATTTTTTTTTTCACGTATGTCTTTACTTTTTCAGGTCTCCTGTTTAAAAGATGCACATTACTGCTACCCACAAAGGAAAGACTAAAATACATTCACAAGACACTTGCAGAAGTAAGATCATATTTCAAACTTGATTTCTAGTAGTTATTAAGATATTAGATTAATTTTAAATCGATTTTAATTAATATAATCTTATTAATTAGTATTAAATAATTAACTAATGGCAATATATTTTCGACACACTCATCCCAATTGCCCCAGTCACCGAATCAATCCATCTCCCAGAGGGCCTTCTCGTCCTGCGCCTGCCCTCCACCCTCCCAAGCATGATGTCCTTCTCCAAGGACCGGTCTCTCCTTACAACATGACCAAAGTATGTTAGACGAAGACTCAGAATCCTTGCCTCCAAGGAGCAGCCTGGTTTAACCCTCTCTAGGATGAATCTGTTTGTTCTCTTAGCAGTCCATGGCACCTTCAGCACTCTTCTCCAACACCAAAGCTCAAAAGCATAAATTCTCCTTCTATTCTCCTTGGTCATTGTCCAGCTCTCTGATGTATAACAAGTGATTGCAAAGACCATGGCCTGTACCAGACGCACTTTTGTCTCCAGAGACACACTGTCGCTCTTGAATACTTTGGAGAGGTCCCTAACAGCAGACTTTCCCATGGCAATACGTCTTTTAATTTCCTGGCTGCTGGTGCCAAGAGTGTTGATTGTGGAGCCAAGCAAACTAAAGCTGTGAACAATCTCAATCTCTTCACCATCCATCCTGATGCTGCCAATTGGTCCAGTGATGAGAATCTTTGTCTTCTTGACATTGAGCCTCAATCCATATTGAAGGCTGCAGTCCCTGACCCTCAGCAGCAAGCGCTTCAGGTCCTCCTCAGTTTCAGCAAGCAGGGTTGTGTCATCTGCATAATGCAGATTGTTTATGGATCTTCCACCAATCCTGATGCCAAACTTCTCATAGAGCCCAGCCTCCCGGATGTTCTGTTCTGCATACAGTTTGAAAAGGTATGGAGACAGGACACATCCCTGGCGTATGCCCTTCCCAATTTTGAACCATGCAGTGTTTCCTTGCTCTGTTCTGACAACTGCCTCTTGGTTCAAGCAGTGTCGGAGGCAATGAGATTGGCACAGGACAGAGCAGAGTTTAGAGCTGTTGTACTTAGGGTCGCTATGAGTTGCAAGCAACTCGCCGGCACATAACAACAATATCTTTTCCTCATATTTAGAGAATATATAAGTCCTCTGATAGCTAGTGTGTATGTGTTTCATGTTGCTCTGCAAACCAAAAAGTCAGTAGTTTGAATGACTCCACGAACTGTTCCCTGGGAGAAAGATGGGCAGTCTCTTCCTGTTAAGATTTACAGTCTTGAAAACCCATGGAGGATCAATATAAGCTGGAGTTCACTTGATAGCAGTTGGTGAGTGTGGTTAAATGCCGTTGAGTCAAGTATGACTCATAGCAACCTTGTGAATAACAGATCTGAACCCTGTCTCATTCTGTGCCACAATCATCATCTCTGACACACTTGAGCCCATTGCTGCACTCACTGTGTCAATCCAGAGGGTCTTCTTGTCTTTCTATGACCCATCACCCTTCCAAATATGATTTCCCCCTCCGAGGAATAGCCTCTTCTAACAACATACCCAAAATATGTGAGACAAAACTTTGTCATCCTTGCTTCCAAGGAGCATTCTGGCTGTACCTTCTCCAACACAACTATTCTTTTGACAGTCCTTAGAATATTTAATACTCTTCTCTGATACCATAGCTCAAAGGCATCAACTCTTCTGTCATCCTTATTCATTGTCCTGGTCTCAGATTGAGCAAGTGATTGAAAAGACCATGGCCTGAGTCAGGGACACCTAAGTCTTCAAACTGACATCATTGTCCCTCAGTAATTTGAAGAGGTCCCTTACAACAAACTATCCAATGCAGTATGCTCCCTGATCTCCTGATCAAGGATGTTGATTGTGGATGCAAGTTAGATAAAATCATTAATAATGTCAATTTTTCTCCACCTATCATGATGTTGCTTATCATTCCAACTGTGAGAATTTTTGTCTTCTTGATGTTGAGATACAAGCCATATTGAAGTTTGTAGTCTTTGTGTGCAGCAGCATTTCAGATCCTCCTCACTTTCAGAAAGCAAGGTTGTATCATGTGCATAATGCAGTTTGTTGATGAGTCTTCTGCCAATTCCGAGTCCATATTTTTCATGAAGTCTAGCTTCTCGAATGATTTTCTCAGCATACAGATTGAATAAATGTGGAGAAAGGATACAAAACTGGCACACACCTTCCCTTGTCTTACACCATACAGTGTTCCCTTGCTCTGTTCAGACAGTAGTTCTGGGATACCAGTTCTCCATGGTGGCCATAATTTGTCATGATCCACACAGTCACATGTCTTTGCATAGTTGATAAAACACTGACATTGTTCTAGTAATCTTTGCTTTCAGCCAGGATCCATCTGATACCAGCAAGGAATTCTTGGTACACAGCCTCTTCTTAACCCAGCTTGAAATTCTGACAGTTTCCTGTGTACTGTTCTAGAAAGCTTTGAATTATTTTCAGTAATATTTTGCTTGCATGTGGTATTAATGATATTGTTTGATAATTTCCACATTCTGTTGGATCATCTTTCTTGGGAATGGGAACAAATATGGATCTCTTCCAGTCAGTTGGCCAGGCAGCTGTCCTTCAAATATCCTGGCATAAACAAATGAGTATATCCTGGGTTGCATCTGTTAGTTGAAACATGTTGATTAGTATTGCATCAATTCCTGGGGCGTTATTATTTTGCCAGTGCCTTCAATGCAGCTTGATTACCATTGGCTCTTGCTCATATGGTATTTCCTGAAATTTTTCAGTACCAACCAATTCTTTTTGACACAGTGACTCTGTGTATTCCTTCTCTCTTCTTTTGATGGTTCCTGGAACATTCAAGATTTTTCCATATTATCTCTTAGTATTGCAACTCAAAGACTTTGATATAAATCAGAAAACCCACTGCCATTGAGTGGATTCCTCCATCAGGGTTTTGAGGCTGTGAATCTTAATGGGAGGGGCCTTCTCATATTTTTCCCACAGTGCACTTGGGGGATTAAAACCTACAGTGCTTCAGATAGCACCCCAACATGTAACATGCTCTGCCACCAGAGCGCCTTACTGCACCACTGTACTCCTTACACTCTGTGCTGTGCCACAGTGCTCCTTAAATACAGTATAGTAGTCTTATAATTAAACACATTTTATGCAAATAAGTATTCATTCAAATGTACTAGATTTTTCAAGATATAAAGGGTTTTTTTAATTATTATTAAATTTTATTAGTTTTAATGAACATTTACAGAGATTTTGGGTTCTCATTCATTCATTCATTGTTGCACTGTTTTCTCTACCCTCCTCCCCAGTTCTTTCTTCTCCCCCGATATAAAGGTATTTTTACCCCACATGAGAATCCTGTAGAAGTTTGATGCTGTGGGTTGTTTTTTGGGGTTTTTTTAGAAGTTTTAAGGTAGTGTTTAATCTTTTATTAAAATGTAGAAAGTTAATGTTGAAAACTTTTTGTTTAAATGTATAAAAATATTTTAATAAATAAAATTACCAAATCTTTTATGGTACTAAATTTTGAAAAGTATACCAATAATCTCACTATAAATTTCACTGTACAAACCCAGACATCCAACTCTGATGGTTCAGTTCTGCACTTGATAATATGCAAACTATTTCTGTGCACTAACTTTTTTCCATATCTATATTTGCATTAAGTTCAGTTCTATCGTTTTGTGGTAGGCTCCCAGCTGGTTTTTCTGCCATCCATTTCTTCCTTTCTCGAGTCATTTCAGACTCTAAATCAAGATGGTTATTTTTAAAGCATCACTTTCCTCAGGGTAACTTTCATGCTTAAAAATATTTCAGCAGCTGCTTACTTTCAACAAGACAAGACGTACCTTTATAGCATTTAGAGCTCCCTGGTAATGTTACCTACTCTATTGGAGAAAGATGAGCAGTCTCCTCTCATGCAGTTTACTGCTTCTAAAAATCCTCTGGTGGAATCAGCTATGAGTCAGTTCTGTAAACTTTCTTTCTATCTCTATATTAAGTTATTGTTTCCTTAAATAATATTTTCTGTTAATTTTATCTGAATCTTCCTTATACTTTAAGACATTTGTTGTCTCATATTCTTCATAATCTTTCATGATTATTTCCAAATTTATCTTTTTTGTTTGCATACAATGCCATAATTTCTATTCAGTCATTTTAGCATTTCTATATGTGCTAATTCAATTATTATAATGATTTCACATGTATACTAACTTCCTAAATAAGTTTTTAACTCCTTGAGGACAGGAATTTTGTTTTCTATTTCTTTTGTTATCCAGTCTAATGTAACATAAAGCTAATCACAATACATACTGGGAGAAGAAAATCTTACTTATTACCATTACATTTGAATGTCAAATCATTGTACAATTCCTCTGAGAAAGAAGAATTGACAGTTATTCTCTTTACAGGTTTCGTGTTTTAAGTTCAATGGCTGTGCAGTTCCTTTACAGTGTTTAGGATTACCGTGTTACGGCATGTTTTTACAGGTACATTTTTTTTAATGCAAGAAGAAGAGGAATGCTTTTTTAACTGTTAATAAGCAGAGAACATAAAATTGTCTTTCTGTAGGCTAATACAAGCAATAATAATCTTAATGAGATAAAATCCATTTTTAAAAAATATTTAAATATAAAAATCTATCATTGTATTTGCTACCCTGAATTTTCCTTTTGGATTTCTCACTAGCAAAATGTCCTAGACACATTCTAAGCAGTTTATGTGTAGTAATTAATTTAACATTGATGACACCTTTATGATGTAGGTAGTTGTTATCTTTTTTTTTTTTTACAAATTGCAGGTAAAGTAATTTACCCAAGATTACAGAGATAACTCCTGGTTGCTTGGATGCTAAACACTGTGACACTGATGCATCAAATGCAGTAATGGTTAGAGCTTGGAAGCAGGAGTGGCATCCACTTCTGAAATAACTTGCCTCCAGAAACTCTGTGAACTTGGAGAAACGATGACAGTTATACAAGTGTTCAGGTCTTTCGTTCATAGGGTTGCTATGAGTAATTTATAACTCAATGGTACTTAACAACAGCAACAACAGTCAATAAAGTAAGAAGTAAAACACCAGCATCAACACTTTTAACTACATACCACACTGTCATAGTTAAAAATTCTATGTATATATAGGCACTATACTTAAGGACATATTTTTAAAGTTGTTTATAAATAAGAGGAAAATTATAGTTTGTGGGGTAGGGAATATTTGCCCTTAGATTCTCAAAGATTGTGGATTCTGTGAGTCTGTAGTTGCCCGTCCTCCAATGACCAGCCTTTTTGTGATTTTTTCAGCACCAGAGTGTTTTGTATCTGCCTAATCAAGCCCTGCAAAAGGGATGGTTTGACTCTAGCCCAGCCTGTCAACTGTTATCTCCTATAGGTCCAGATTTGAAGAGCCTTGGCCCTCCATTATCCTATTATTCCAAATGATATTTTGGTATTATTTTTTGTGGGTTTTTTTTTGGGGGGGACAGGTGACAAATGTACTTTTATTTGTTCAAAATTCAAAATTATGTTAAAAAGTGTTAAAAAAGTATAAAGTTAAGGGAGATCTGGTGGCCTATTGGCAAGAAGCTGTGCTGCAATCTTGAAGGCATATGGTTTGAGACCATCAGCTGCTCCGCAGAAGGATGGGCAGTGTTCTCCTGTGTATTTAACTGCCTCTGAAAACCTGCCAGAGGGTCAGCTATGGGTCAGTTCCAACTCTGTGGTACACAACAACAACAACAATATAAAGTGAGAAGTTAACCTCCCTCCCAGACCTCTCCCTTGTCCACTGAGTTCTTTCCTTTCACCAGAAGTAACTACTGTTACCAGTTTCTTATGTACCCTTGTAAAGAGAATAAGATTAATTTTTAAACTGATAGCATCAAATTTAACTATTTTTTAAAAAATTTAACTATTTTAAGGAGAATTTATGTGACTACTAACTTTTAAAATCTGATAGTGGTTTACCATTTTAGTCTCCTTTTCCTAAGTGTCATTGACTGCCATTTAAGTTTGATCAAAAATTATTAAATTTTTATCTGGTAAAAATGTATTGGCTTAAAAAATATATTGGCTTGTTCACATCCAAATGTCCTAAGTAAGTACTAAAAATTGCCATATTAAAATTATATCATTATAATTTATAAACAATATCATAAATGATAGCTAGAAGGAGTTAAAGGAGTTCTACTGTAGTCACTGGTTCTTTAAAATTAAGCCAGAGACAACAATCTGGAACAAGAGGTTCATTTCAAAGTGGACTGGGAGCGCAGGAAGGGACAGAGAGGGAGGAAAATGGGCAACAATGAATGAATCAACCCAGCCTTTCTGTAAACTTTCATTACAATCCCAATAAGATTTTTTTTCAAAAAATATATTAAGCCAGAGTAAGGTTGTGAGCCAGATGTCTAAAGCTGTATTCTAGGCTTTGACCATACTTAGATTTGGGGTTTTTTAAAAAACTGTTAGAGTTCAGGATTCAGTACTAGTTAGAAGTGCTCTGAAAATAGACTCCATTTCCAACTAAAAGTAAACTGGATTTGGGGGCATTTCTACTTCTTATTTATTTAAAGATACTCCTTGTTTCTTATTAAAGAGTTCCATGGTGGATGAAAATTGCATGTGATCTTGATCATGTGTGAAGTTACACTCATAAAGCCATGTTGTTGTTATAGTGCCATCAAGTCGCTTGCAACTCATAACAACCATGTGTACAATGGCTCTAAACCTGCTCTATCTTGAGCCAATTCTGTTGTCTCCAACACACCTCCCTCATTACCCCAGTCACTGAGTCAATGAATTTCATCCAGGGTCTTCCCTGGATGCTTTTCTTGTGCTATCCCTCCATAATGACTTATATTTCAATTTGATGGTGTGAACAACTGTAATGTTTATTTTATTCTTATCCTTAGACCTTAACAGCAGGTTGGGATGAACTCGAGTGCCATCGTGTTTTTAACTTCTTATGTGAGCTGACCAATCTCTCCCGTAAGATGCAGAGTGTTGTCTGCAGCAAACCAGGTAAAGAACTACAATTCACGGAAGCACCCAGAGATTAAAATATGGAGGAAAAAAAGTTTAAAAGTGTATTTTAAAACAAATGATGGCATGCTCGTTAAGTAAAAGGATACAGAAATGTAAGAGAATGAAATTGGATATGGGAACAAAAAGATAATCAAGGAAAGAAAAGTGTTCAGAGGCCTTCAACTGTTTTAGTATTATTTTACTACTTAAACTGGATGATGAGTACTAAGGTGTTCATGATGTTGTTGTTGTTATGTGCTGTTGAGTCATTTGCGACTCTTAGGGACCCTATGTACAACAGCCCTAAACCCTGCTCTATCCTGTGCCAAACTTACTGTCTCTGACACATCTACTCCCTCCACACCAGTGACAAAATCGATCCATCTCATCAAAGGTCTTTCTTGTGCTGTCCCTTCACTCTCCAAAGCATGATATCTCTCTCCAAGGACTGTCGGTCCCTTCTTGCAACATGCCCAGAGTATGTCAGAAGAAGCTTCATGATAGTAATCTTTAAACCTTTAGACTTCATGTTGTTTTGTTATTTGGGGGTTTTTGTTTTATTGTTGTGTACCATCAAATCAGATCCAACTGGCACAGGAAATTGCCCCTCCTTCTCCAGCAGCGCATCTGGTGGATTTAGTATTACAGCACAGCTTCTTGCCACTAGGCCACCAGAGCTCCCTTTTTTGTTTTTTGGGTTTTTTTTATTAGACTTCATGTTAATGATAGTCTTCTTTAAACCTGTTATTGTTATCATTATATGCCGTCGAGTCACCTGCAACTGCAATCCATCTCATCGACGGTCTTCCTCTCCTGCGCTGTCCCTCCACCCTCCCAAGCATGATGCCCTCTCCAACGACTGGTCCCTCCTTGAAACATGTCCACAGTATGTCAGATGAAGCTTTAGAATCTTCACTTCCAAGAAGCATCCTGGCTTTACCCTCTCAGGACAAACCTGTTTGTTCTCTTAGCAGTCCATTATAAACTCAATATTCTTCTTTAACACCATAGCTCAAAGGCATCAATTCTCCTTCTATCATCCCTAGTCATTGTCCAGCTCTCTGATGCATGCAAGTGATTGAATAGAGCATGGCATTTATCAGGCTCACCTTAGTCTCCTGACTGACATCGTTGCTCTTCAGTACTTTAGAGAGGTCTCTAACTGCAGACTTTCCCATTGTAATACGTCTTTTAATTTCCTTGATGAGTCTTCCTCCAATCCTGATGCCACATTTCTCCTCATAGAGTCCAGCCTCCTGGATAATCTGTTCTGCATAAAAATTGAAAAGGTATGGAGATAGGATACATCCCTGGTGTACACCCTTCCCAATTTTGAACTATGCAGTGTAACCCTGCTTTGTTCTGACGATTGCCTCCTGGTCCAAGTATAGGTCTTGCATTAGCATGATCAAGTGTTCTGGGATTCCTATTCTTCTCAGAGTTAGCCACAGTTTGTTGTGATCGATAGAGTTAAACACCTTTACATAATCAATGAAACACAGACATTCCTCTGGTACTCCCTGCTTACAGCCAAAATCCATCTAACATTAGGTACAATATCCCTAGTACCACGACCCCTTCTAAACCCAGCCTACACTTCTGGTAGTTCTCTGTTGATGTGCTGTTTTAGTAATTTTTGGATAATCTCTATACCTGAAATCCCCAAATACCTAAATTCTTAAAATTATGACACTCTATAACTTATCACTTTCACTCTGAGAAACAGCTAGTGTCCACAAGTAGCTGTGTACAAGAATGATCATTGCAGAATTATCGGTGATTATGAAAGCATCAAACAGCCTCAATGCTTATTGTCAGGAAACCAGATAAATTATTTGTGGCATAGTCATACAATTAAAACTGTATGTCATAGTGGGGAGCATCAAGGCTGAGAGCTAAGCCACAGATATCCTTACCTCTCCCCACAAAAAAACCCCAAAAATCAGTGTCACATATATTAACATGGTAATTCTCAAAAGTTAATGTTGAGGATAAAAGGTTGTTGAAGGATACTTTCAGTATAACATTATATACCTGTTAAAAACAAACAAAACAATATTTTATAGTCTTTATGATTACATGTCCATAAAATAATTGAGAGTGAAAACCCCAAATTTTGTGTGGTAATTACTTCTGGGAGGAGAATGAAGTTGGGAAAAGATACATAGGAGCTTTAATTCTATCATAATGTTTTATTTATTTTTAAAAATGTAAAACAAGTAAAGCAAGAAGTAAAGTTTTGACAGAGGTAAGTTATAAATATACAGTATTTGTTTTAGTGTATCAACTTTTATGTCTTCTTAAAATATTTCATTATAAAATAAATTATGGATTAAATATGCAGCTGTAGAAGTCCAGTGAAACAGTAACAAAAGTAATTTATTGTCTCTCACTCATAAAAACTTTTACTAACTCCTTGTTGCCTTCAAGATAAAATTTTTTTAATTTTGTTGTTGTTTTTTATATTATTATTTTTGTGTGCGTGTACCGTCAAATCAGATCTGACTGGTACAGGAAGAGATTGTCCCTCCTTCCCCGGAAGAGCATCTGGTGGATTTGAACCGTTCACCTCTGGGATTATAGTTGCAGCTCCTTGCCACTAGGCCACCAGAGCTCCCCTAAGATAAAATTTTTAAGAAGTACTTATACTGACCTTCACATTCTGGGTCCTGCCTACTTTTTCAAACTCATTGTCAACTTCATTATTGGTATGATACAGTCTATGATATTGCTCTATTCACTGTATCTCAAACACCCAATACACATTTTTACCCTAGTACTTTTTTTCCTTCTATCTCTGTTTCCTGAAATATCATCTCTTCTCATCTTTTAATATCCAGTGTGCTTGGCTGCCTCCTCAGAACCTGGTCTGATCTCACCTATGACTAATCTTCCTTACAGAATTTTGTGTCCCATGGTTTAACACAACAGGGGATACTTATATATGGCTTTACATCATTATTAGATTTTTATTTATACTTATCCATCTAACAAAACTGTACATTCTTTGAAAAAATAACTTTGATTTATACATCTTTATAACTGATTCAATGAAGAGAGTTTAGTAATCTTCATTTTCCTAAATAATATTTGACGTAATAGAATTTAACATATTTTGTTCATTCAACAAAGATTTCCTAAAATCTACTAAGTGAATTAAGACAGATCTAGAATCTTTCTTCATGAAACTTGTATTCTAATTGGAGGAAAAAATCAAAATAATTACAGGTTGTGTGGTGAGGAAGTAAAGTCCCCTTTAGATAAAAACATACTGAAGAACTGACTTAACTAGGATTATAAGTAAGATCTTTCTAAGGAAGTGACATTTAAACTACTCCCTGAAGTCTAAGAATCATCCAGCCATTTAAAAGCTCAAGTACAAAGTTCCAGACATAAGTACGTAAGTACAAAGACTCCAAGACTCGACAAAAAACCAACCAAACTTGTTGCAGTCAAGCTGATTCCAACCTATAGCAACCCAATAGGACAGATTAGAACTGTCTGCCTCATAGGGTTTCCTAAGCTAATCTTTACAAAAGCAAATGGGTGCATCTTTCTCTGGTGGGTTCAAAAGGCCTATTTTTTTTTTATTATCAGCTGAATGTTTCAGCCAGGGTTCCATAGACCTGGGTGGCAGAGACAGAGGAAGGGTGTGGTGAGTAATGAAAGATCACCATGGTTGAGATTTTACCCTACTTCTGAAAAACAAGATGGATCCAAATTTGCATTTTACAAGACTTCTCTGGCTAGTGGGTACAAATTGGATAAAGGGACACACGAATGATTGCATGAAAACAATAAGAGAATTCAATTAGAGGGGACTCTGGTGGCCTAGTGGCAAGAAGCTTCACTGCAATTCCAGAGGCACGCATTTCAAATGCAACAGATGCTCTGCTAGAAAAGGAGGGATAATCTCCTGTACCAGTCAGATCCAATTTGACAGTACACACAAAAAAATAATTTAAAAAATTTTAAAAAGGTAAGTTCAATTAATGTTTATTAAATAGACTCCAGAGAATTCAATTTTTTTTCCAGAGAAAAATTAAGTAACTTTCTATATAAAACATAATAATGGTGAGCCACTACTTCACAGCTTAATCTTGGAATAAGTAATGTTGCAGATGAATTTTTTTAAAATTTTTGAACAGTTGCTGTTGAACCATTTCTAATTCATGGTTACTCCATGTTTGTCAGAATAGAGGCAAAAGTTTCAGTGGCTGATTCTTAAGAAGTAAATCACCAGGTCTTTCTTCTGAGGCACCATGGTGGACATAAACTTCTTACCTTTCAGTCTGCCAGCAAATAGTTGTATTAGGGAAGTCTCAAAAGAGGTTGATCTCTGATGTGAAAACTGAAAGTGACATTGACTTTATTTTTGTGCACAGATAACATTTGGTATAGAGAAAATGAGAATGTCTTTAAATAAATATTTGGAAGCCATAGGATCTTAGTTAATTTTTTTAACCTGTAATATTAACATCAACATTAATATTTAAGTCAACCAGGACCTACAAGGCAGGCCTTGTATTTAAAAGGTGGCTCGGTCCCTAATTAAGATTCCAGTTTGGAGACTCATGTGTGAAGCAGCTAGATTCTGCAAAGTGGGTTCTCTTATTTTGGTGAGGGTCAGGTGTGGACTGGTTGGGTTTTTTTCATTCACAATTGGATGTGATCTGATTGGATATCCTGGGTTTAGATAACTGAGTTGTGGGCTGGAAGCCTCTCGTTTAAAGTCAGCCAGAACCTGGTGGGCAAGCCTTGTATTTAAAAGGTGGTTGGGCCTGAGGGCCATGTTAATTGTGTTTGAGATGAAAATTCTTCTAAGTGGAACAGCACCAGTCTGTCAATTTGCTATACTGAAGTAACTTAAGGTTGCTGATGTAGCATGCTGTACCACTGGTGTGTCAAATGCCAAAATGGTTACCATGGATGGTGTTTGGTGGAGCTCTCAGATAAAGACAGGCTTGGAAGCAGGAGTGGCATCCAATTCCTAAACAGCATGCCTCTGAAAACTATGAACTTAGAGAAATGACAATAGTTATAGAACAGGTCTTTTGTTCATAGGGTCACTATGAGTTGTGCTTGACTCAATGACACTTAACAACAACAACATTCTATCAATGGTCTTCCTCTCTTTTGCTGTCTTTCCACCTTTCCAAGCATGATGTCCTTCTCCAAGAAATAGCTTTTCCTACCCAAAGTATTGAAATAAAGCTTTGTCATCCCTGGCACCAAGTTGCCTTCTGGCAGCACCTTCTCCAGGACATATCTGTTTGTTCTTTTGGCAGTCCATGGAATATTCAGTACTCTCCTCCAACACTACAGCTTAAAGGCATCAACTCTTCTTCTGTCATCCTTATTCGTTACCCAGCTTTCAGATGCTTACTAAGTGACTGAAAAGATCATGGCCTGAACCCATTGCACTTTAGTCTTCAAACTGACATCATTGCTCCCTGGTAATCTGGAGAGTTCAAGTGTGTCAGAAATTATGAGGATGGCACCAGTAGGACAGGGTTCAAATCTGTTGTTCATAGGATAGTCAAATAGATGGCACCTAACAGAAAAAATATACATCCACACAAAAATATGTATAAGTTGTTCAATGGTAAACTAATAATGTTCTCTGTACATTTTTGGTGTAGATTACATTAAAAACTTGGGAGAAAAAAAGTTACATTGCTGATGTATGTCTTTCATCTTTTTCTGCATTGATTTCTTTTAAAATCCAATATCTTGGGAGAGTCTGATAAATAAGCATGTCTTTTTTAACCTATTATTTAGAGATCAAATAGAAGTCAGAAAAATAAGGTTCAGTAGACAGTCCAAACAGTGAAGTTAAGACAGTATAAAAATGTATACTCTTTTTCCTTATTTCTCATTGAATATCACAAACCACAGTACTTAAAATCAGTTGCTCTGATTATTATTCAATGTGTATCAATCCTTTTGATCCGATGAACTTACACCTCTGTCTTCATAGGAAGTGCCCGGAAACTGGAATTACGCATCAGGCTATTCTGTAGGAGAGTCCTGCTTGATCATTGGCTACATCAAAGTGATTCTGCTTTTTGGTTAACTCGCATATTAAAACCATGGCCTATGGTGAATCAGGCAAGATTACTGTATATCATCTTTGGGCCAATATCTCCTCAAGATGGTGCGTACTTATTTTTAAGGGATGTGTGTTATATATAAATAATTAATATATCTTTTTTTGTACTTGCTCAGTTTTATCATCCCAAATGATCAAACTGTGTTTCATGATTTCATAGATGTGTGCTACCTTAACTTGTGTATTACTTAAACTGCAAAGCTAAACTGTAGGCCATTACCAAATTTATTCTTACCATCTCTGCTGTTGTTCTAAATTTTACATAATTAATATTTTGCTTTATTCTGAGGCAGCCAATAGCACCAGGCAGCCAACCTAGGATTAAAACTTGATTCCATGTAATAGACAGAGATAATCTGTTACAGATGAGGGGTAGAAAATGGGATGGGGACCACAAATGTATTATGTTCCCAGGAAGGTTATCAGTAAATGTTCATTTATTAGATTATATCAACTGTTTATTCCAGTCTCTGTTATGAGAACAGCATTCTCTTTGAACTAGATACTCTCTGAACTAGTGCTGTTATGCTTGGTACAGTTACCTTTTCTTTATTTCACTTTGCTTCTGTGGCTGTATGTACTTCATTGCATGAATTAGAGACATTAAAATGTACTCAGAATTGGCTTTCTATTATAAAAGTTAAAATTAACCTATATAGGTAATGGAATTCCATTTTTTAATCCAATTCTCTTTTTTTAAAATAGTACTTGAAGTCTTTGTCACAAAGTCAGCTATCCTGTCATAGCCTACTTTTTATTTCAATTATTACTCAGGACAGTTGGTTTGGCAGAAAATGATAGAAGGACCAACAGATGAATCCAGTCTGAAAGGTTTGGCTGAGGCCTTTAAGTTACTCTATGAAACAGGCTCTAGCGAGTGGTCAGCAGATGACATCATCAGTCTTGTAGATGAACTATCAGGTAAGAGTATCCTTGCCAATATAGCAAGGTAGAAGCTTTTAATTAAAATAGAGCTATAAAATTGTAATGATAATGCTACAGGTCACAAATTAATTGCCTACTGGAAATTACTAAATCCTCTAAGATATTTGAAAAATGTGACTTTATGTTTGAAGAGATTGCAGGTAATCAGTTTATTCTTGTTGTTTGTCACATGTATACAGAGTAGAATTGCTCCATAGTTCTTTCCTTGCAAAAGTAGGTCACAGGCCTGTCTTTGGGCATATTTGCATGACCTAGAGACCTTACAATCAACTTACATTTTTATAATTACCAAATTTATATAATTCTATATTACTACTATTTGACAGCTTCATATATTAATTAGCTTAACAAGCTTTTGCAAATTCTCAGCTTCCAAGGTTATGTAAGAAAGTTCTTTCCTGTGTCAATGATTTTCCTGTTTCCAGAATATCCTTTAGATGATAAAGTTTAAGGTTTCCTTACCTTCTGATCTGTAGGCAGAAGAAGTTCTTTGACTATATTTCTAGCAAAGGAGTCCTGACAGTGTAGCAGGTTAAATGATAGGCTGCTGACTAGAAAGTCAGCAGTTCAAACCTGCCAGTCACTTTGAGGGGAAAAGAAGTGGTTTCTTCCTGTTAAGATTTACAGTTTTGGAAATCCAATAGAGAGTCATGAACCAGAATAGATAGTGGGTTTTATTTATATATCCAATAGAGAGTCATCATAAACCAGAAAGGTAGTGGGATATATATATATATATATATATATATGTGTGTGTGTATGTATATGTATATATGTGTGTGTATATATGTATGTATTTATATATGTATATGTGTGTTAAAACAGATGTATTATATATAAAATATATATTTATATATTTTGGGATATATATAGATATAGATTTATATATAGATATATATATAGATCTAGATATAGATATATATCTGTCATTGAGTTAGAATCAACCCATAACAGACTCTCCATTGAGTTTCCAAAGCTATAAATCACATGGGAGGAGATTGCCCATCTGATGGGTTCGAACTACCAAAGAGGTTTGACTTTGGGGTTAGCAGCACAACTCCCTATAGTACATGCCACCAAACTTTTTTATTTCTATGTGTGTGTATTGTTGTTACATGTGGTCGAGTTGGAACAGACCCATACCTGGCCTTTCAGTGGGTTTTTAGAGACAGTAAATCACACTGGAAAAGATTACCCATCTCTCTCTCCCACAGAAGAGCTAGTGGATTAGAACCACCTGTCTTTGGATTGGCAGTGCAAATTATTACCATTAGGCCACTAGAGATCCCTCATGTATATATAGATATGTTTTATTCTGAACTTACCCTTGGCATTAACTGTAGAAATATAAGATTGCATGGCATATATTTAATAATTTTTACTCTAGCTATAGTGTAAGTTCTCATTGAATAATTATTCTTCCTCTGATAAAAGTGGTTCCCCGGGAGTGGCTTCTAGAGAATAACGCACGCCTCCTAATCCTGAGTGGGAACAACATCTGTTTCACTTTCATGGCTAGTAAAGCAGTGAATGGAAGAACCGTTGAACTGGCAAGGCTGATAGTCTTTTTGGCTTTGGTAAGAAAAAGTAAGGTTTTTCTTTTTTTTCTGGTATGTTATTTAACATAACAGTCAACTACCAGGGAGTCTCCTTGCAACAAAATCTTTGAAAGAGTTAAGTATTAAGTTTAAATTTTAATGTTGCTTAAAAATATTAAAATGTGTACAATAAGTTTTATTCATTGGAAGCATTCTTTATATTATTCTCTCTGTACCATATGTCTAGATTGTAATTATACAACTATGCTGATTTTATAGTTTTTAAAAATTTCCATTTAAAAACTACTTTCTATTTGTTTTAAAATAATCAAGTGGAAGGGATGTAGAAATGAAGGAGGACAGAGCTACAACAGGATTGGCTATTGTTGAAGCTAAATTGTCTATTGGCTAGGAGCATTGGCACTAGGTATTCATTATATTAGTCTCTATTTCATATAATTAATTTTTTAAAATAAAAAGTTAAAAATATATTTCATATTCATTCATTTAACACAAATGTATTGAATGCTTACTATAAGCCACAAAGGGAGCCCTGGTGGCTTAGAGGTAAGGGGTTATGCTGCCAACCCAAAGGCACATGGTTCAAATCTATCAGCTGTTCTACATGAGAGAGTTGGGCAATGGCCATCTCCTGTGTGATTTAATGGCTCTGAAAAACCACTGTTCTGGAATTCCCTTTCTTCTCAGTGTTAGCCATAATTTGTTATGATGCACATAGTCAAATACTTCTGCATAAAACACAAATAGGTATTCTGGTATTCTCTACTTTCAGCCAGGATCCATCTGACATCAATAATGATATCCCTGGTGCCATGGCCTCTTCTAAACTCAACTTGAATTTCTGGCAATGTCTGTCAATGTACTAGTCATTTTAAAAATAGTCTTCAACAAGATTTTACTTGCCTGTGATATTGTTTGATAATTTCCACAGTCTATTGGATCACCCTTTTTAGGAAATGAGATGAAATATTGACCCTTTCCTGAAATATTCAAATAAATATTGGCTGTGGAACTGTGTAGGATTCTTATTTTTAAAAAATTCCTCATTGCAGTGAGTCAGATGATCATAGCTGATCATTCTGCAGGTTTTTAAAGGCTGGAAATCACAAAGGAAGAGCTTGCCTGTTTTTCTCCCTTATCTGGTGGTTTCAAACTGCCTGACTTGAGTTGGCAGCACAACCCCTTCACCTACCAGGATTCTAGGACTATGGGAACTAATAGTACACAGTGTCTGACCACAAGTTGCTTACACTCTTTTAAGAGCTATCAAAGTATGTATAACTCAGTTGAAATTTAGGGAGATAAATACAAAATTATATATTTTTTAAAAAAATAAGGTAGAGCAGAAAGGAGAAATAACTAGGGTGGGGAAAGAGCACAGAAAGAGCATATCAAATTCCAGTAATATGGATTTCTAAAAATGAACAAGATCACTAGGCAGATGGCAAATTATTCAAGACAGCAGGAAAAGCATGTGCAAGAACCTGAGAAATGGAACAGAATTGATCTATTCAAAGGTCTGTAAGCAACTCAGTATTATTTCTGAGGGATAAATTATTCAGAAGAGTTGTGGGAGATGAGGGTAGGTAAGGAGGGAGAAACTAGGTAAAGAAAGGTCTTATAAGCAAGTTTTTGGAGAGAGCTTAAATCTATCTTGTTAAGAGAGATATATTGAAAAGTTAAAAAAAGATGAAATATATTTTTGTTTGAGAAGGTCACTTTGGTGGAAGTATAGCAAATGAAATAGAGCAAAAGCGACTAGAAAGGGAAAAGCCTTTTCTAGATACCCTTCTCTACTTAACGTCTCAACTCTGAACACTGATTTTCTCTAATTTGCCACAAATATGTCTTCTCTTCATTTACTGTTAGTGTTCTTTTTTTTAATTTTTATTTTATTATTTTTGTGTGCGTGTACCGTCAAATCAGATCTGACTGGTACAGGAGGAGATTGTCCCTCCTTCCCTGGCAGAGCATCTGGTGGATTCAAACCGTTTGCCTCTGGGATTATAGTTGCAGCTCCTTGCCACTAGGCCACCAGAGCTCCCACTGTTAGTGTTCTTAAGTTACTGTATGTGTGCATCTCTCAAAATAGATTTCAGGTTCTTTTAAATCCAGGGGTGGTGGTTGTTAAGTGCCATTGAGTCATAGACGACTCATAGCAACCCTATGAAAGAAAAACCCAAATTTAAGAACCAAGGCAAGTTTCAAACTCCATGAGCTCTATCATTCCACAGTCCTCCATAATCAAGCATTCTCATTGGCTCTCACCATCCAAAAACGCCCATCTGGGAGCATTCCTCTGTTTCCCCAATCTCCTATTCTGATGCTACATGTTTCTTCATATAGTCTAACTTCTTTTTTTTATATTTATTTTTATTTTATTATTTTTGCGTGCGTGTACCGTCAAATCAGATCTGACTGGTACAGGAGGAGATTGTCCCTCCTTCCTCGGCAGCGCATCTGGTGGATTCGAACTGTGCGCCTCTGGGATTGTAGTTGCAGCTCCTTGCCACTGGGCCACCAGAGCTCCCCATAGTCTAACTTCTTGAATGATTTGTTTAGCATATAGACTGAATACACTTGAGGAAAGGATAAAGTGTTAATGCACATCTTCCTTTATTTTAATCCATTGTATATTCCCTTGCTCTGCTTATATAACAGCTTCTTGTTTTAGGTATAGGTTTCATGTTGTTTTTGTGGACTGCATAATTTCTTTCATTATTCCAGGTACAGTGCTTTACACATAATGGGTATTCAATGACTTTTCTTTTCAGGTTGATGCTTAGTTATATTACTATATAGTTTCTTTTCATGTTGTACATTATTTGTTTGACTGTGTGTTTTCAATTGGTCATTTACCATTTTTTAAAAAAAATTTTGTTGTATTCCATCAAATCAGATCTAACTGGCACAGGAGGAGATTGCCCCTCCTTCTCCAGCAGAGCATCTGATGGATTCAAACTGCATGCCTTTGGGATTGCAGCGCAGCTTCTTGCCACTAGGCCACCAGAGCTCCCCTTAATTGGTCATTTAGAATGTGAATAAATCAGCTTTTGACTTTTCAGTTTTAGTCATGCACATACAATCTTTGCTTTAATCTTTACCTTTTGTGCTCGCTTCAGCAACATGTATAGTAAAATTAGAACAATACAGAGGAGATTAGAATGACCCACAAGGAACAAGGATGACACACAAACTCATAAAGCATTCCATATTTTTGAGCCACCCACATATTCTAAGGCTTGAGAAATAACCAATGTTATCAACTAGAAGCTAAATGATGATGAGATTGCCCAACTCAAGAGAAGTGCAGACACTAAGGGGAGAGGAAAGAGGGAAGAGGGCAGAATAAAGGGAAAGCTGGGAACTAGGTGAGCAGTGTAGTGGGTGGATAGGGGAGTGAAGGATTAGGAAAGAGTCAATAGGGACCCGAAATATTAATCATAATACTAATAATAGGCATAGATCAATAATAATTACATAAAGTACAATGTATATTAATTATTGTATGAAACACAACGTAAATTAAAGCCTGTATAGAACACAGTGCACATGAATAAATTATCTTCAGTGAAATTAAAAAAATAAAGAAAAGCCACACCCATGTTTATTGTGGCTTTGTTCACAATAGCAAAGAATTGGAAACAACCCAAGTGTCCATCAACAAACAAATGGATAAAGCAGTTCTAGTATATTCACACAATGGAATACTATGCAGCATTGAAAAACAAGGAACTCATGAAATATTATTCAAAATGGGTGACCCTGGAGGATATTATGTTGAGTGGTGAAATATCTCAGTCACAAAAGGACTAATACTGCATAGTGCCACTGTTGTAAAACATCAAGGTTGAGGGAAGATATATACTGCATTTAAACAGATGAGGGAGAGAACTGTTCAAAAGGGATATGTGATTATGTATTATTGTCATGACAGAAGCCCAGAATGAAGGCTGCAAGTGGAGTGGACTTGGGGGGAGGGATTGTATAACAATGACAGACTTTTCAAAGAGAAGAGCGAATTGCAAGGGAGGTTGGGCAGGGAGAAAAGTACAACAGTGAATGAATGGAAACACTAAGTCTCTGTAAGCTTTCATTAAAATTAATTTAAAAAATAAAGAAAAGCACAGACACTGTGGGATATCTAGAAGGATCTAGAATAACTGTGACATTTGAATTCTAAGTTGTAGAAATTTTAAAACATTATGTAATGTAGGGAGCTCTGGTGGCTTAGTGGCAAGAAGCTGCACTATAATCCCAGAGGTATGCAGTTCAAATCCACCAGATACTCTGCTGGAGAAGGAGGGGCAATCTCCTCTTACACTAGTCAGATCCAATTTGATAGTACACACACACAAAGTAATCAAAATTTTAAAAATCTTTAAAAAAACTCTATAATGTGATGTATGTACATGGATCACAGTTTGCTTTTTTCCTTCCTAAATATGTGAATTGGGTCCCATAGGATTAAGGCACATATTTAGCTTAATATTTGCAATATAAGCCCTTGAAAAAATAAAAAGTATTTACCTTTTAAATAACAGAGATTCAAATATCCTTTAAAATTGAAGAGAGAAGTTGGTAATATAGAGTTCTCCTGCCTGTTGAGATTGCCTATTTGTGGATCACTTTCACTTAATCCTTGAGAATAAAGCCCATGTTTTTATGGTTCATCATTGTACCTCCCACTCTTTGCAGGTGCTTAACATACTACAGATATAGTTATAGAATAATAAGCAGAAGTCTTCTTTTTCCTATGCTCAATAATGGTTTTAAATATTTCTTATATTAATAAATAATAAGATCACCATAAATTCAATTAACATTTATACCCCACATATTCCCATTAAAATGACACTATTTGAAAACAAAGGAATATTGTTGTTGCCTATTGTTGTGTACCATTGAGTTAGAACCAACCCATAGCTGAACCGACCCATAGCTGACCCTCTGCCAGGTTTTCAGGGGCAGTTAATCACATGCAGGAAATTGCCCATGCTTCTCCCACAAAGCAGCTGGTAGACATGCATCACATGCCTTCAGGATTTCAGAGCAGCTTCTTGCCACTAGGCCACCAGAGCTCCCAAAGGAATATTAGATATAAGAAATTTCACACTTACAGTTTTCACTAGGGCAGTGTTCTGAGCTGTTGTGCATAGGATCTCTATGAGTCACACATGACTCAGTGACACATAAGAACAATAAATTATGTGAAGACATACTATCACTGTCAATACTATTTTCACGTTTTAACACTTTATTTACGTGCAAGTTTACAATAATGCTTCTTATGTCCAAATTAGGTATGTGAGAAGGAACTATACTGTATGGATTGGGCAGTTAAAATGATGCAAAAAGTCTGTAAAGTCTTTAGCACTCCAGTGGAAAGAAATAACTTCCTGCAGAGTGTGCCACATGCATTTGCATGTGTTATAGTGGAGATGATGCAGTCAATTATGTCTGGTGAGTACTCATGTAAATGGTGCACGGGTGAGAGTTGAAAATACATTATAGTCTCTACTTAAGACAGCTAATTAGACTTTTCTTTCCAAACTAACAATAGAAGAAGCAGATACCTCTTTTTTGCCTTTCATGATATACTTAGTTCCTAGGTTTTGTCACTTAAAAATATCTTGTCCTGATTTTCATGGAAAATGTAAAATATAAGAGTCTACTTTGAGAAGACTTAATTTCAGTTTTGCATAGAAGAGCTAACTTGCTCATTTATAACTATCATAATTAATCATCATAACAATGCCATAAATGTGTGCACTTCCAGGATACTTTTACAGACATTACTGTTTTATTAAGCATCCAGCATGGTAACTATTCTTGTTTTATAGATTAAAAACTAAGATTTTAAAAGATTATCTAGGGAGAGAAGTGCAGCAATGAATGAATGGAAATCCAAAATCTCTGTAAATGCTCATTAAAATTATTTTTTTTCAAGGGCAAAAAGAGTCAAAACTAGATTTTATTATTTGGAGAAATAATACATATTTGATATATACACAGATTTATATGTAATAGTATTTGAAGAAATCTATATAGGTGAAAACAGTTTAAAAATGTCATTAAAATTATTAAAAAAATAAAACTTAAGAAGAAGAAAAATAAAAAGGGGAAAAAAAGTAAAAGTATATTGAAAAAAAATCACCCAAGTTAATGCTCATAAATGTATTATGATATGTTTGTACAAATAATAAACATAATTATTACATTAAAAAAAGATTAAATATGCTCAGGGTAATAAAATTAGAGCTAGCTGCCTATTCTGCTTTCTCATCCAGTATTCTAGGAATTCTGGTAATATTCTGTTATTTCAGTGATCTACATCTGACTTAGAAAAATCTAGTAAAAGTCACTGATTAGTCTCTAGGTAGATAAATATGTAAAAATATAACTGTCACTTTCTTTTCTCTACTGTCTATTTCTGTGTCCGGCACATATAGGTGAACGTGATGAAGACAACAGAAACTTTATTAATTTGTTCCATCTCGTGCAAGCACAAGCTAGCTTCCATAAAGAAGTCCTCTGTCTGACCATGAATACTTTCTCAGCTTAAATGCTCAGAAAGCTTTGTCTTAAAAGAATGCCTTACTGAACTAACAATTAGAAGAATGCTACTTTTTCATACCCCAAAAATAGCATGTTTGGGGCTTTTACCCTCTAAGTAACCTAAAAATAGACTTTTATAAGCAACTACCTATACCATCATTAATGTAAAAATAATAGACATATTCAAGAATGTGTTGACATTTTCTGGCAATAAGTTGTCTCTCTTTTGATAAACCTAACACTGAACTGAAATGGAATATTAGCTGTCAAATCATCTGTGACCAACCTAACATGTTTTGTGTGACTTGTTGGAGCAAGAGAAAATTCTATTTTAAAGTTACACCAGACTCAAATTCACTAAATAGTATGTGTCTGTTAACTTTGCATAGGTTCTGTAAACATTGCCTAAAGTGTTTTGTAAAGATTTGCAGTATGGTGCTTTGGAGTATATAGCATATAAATCTTTTTTCCTATATTGTTTGCTACCTTCTTGATGTATGATTACAAAGAACATTGTATTTTGCTCATATTTTCATGAATAGCTCAAAAATGGAAGGGTGTGTGTATGTGTGTACATATATATCTGGATTGTGTGTGTATACATGTCTATATCTGTACTTCAATATAGACTTAGACATATATATACACACACATTATCCTTATCCTTCAGAATGTATCATACAAAGTCAATAAATAGAGGGAGGTATATATTATCTGAATATAAGAAAATACTCTTTTATACTTTCCTGAGTTTTAAAGTGTCACAAATTTATATAATGAATAAAAAAAAAAAACCTATTCTGTAGTCCAAATACTCTTCATAAATAATTTGCAATTCTTCTAAAAGGTGTTCTTGCTGAAAGTAGGACTTATTGAAGGAACTGGAAAGTAGGACTTATTGAAGGAACTGGAAGCATGAATGCTTAGGGCAAGCAACCTAGGAGAGAAAGCACCGTAAATTAACTAAATTAAATGGACTTAAGAAGGTCTAAAACTTTCTGCCTGGCTACCATCATCCCCCAGAATTTTTACCGATACTAAATAGGAAGAATAAAGAATGCCACTGCTTCAAGGGACTGACCTTGTTCTGGAGCCCTCCTTGATCTCATATTTTCTTGGTTTTGATTGCCTTGTTCCAGCTAAAACACACCCTTTCCTACTGAACTTCTCAGAAGCTGACTTTATTCTCAAGCTTTTGCTTTAACTCATCTCTGGAGCTGGTGAAAGGAAGACACATTTGAAGATAGGAAAATTACCAACAGAAATGGAGTGTAAATTATGGGAAATTCTTAAGCGTTTGGCAAGAAGGCCTCGATTTGTTAAGAAAGTGAGAAATTTAATTTGAGGAAGTGTGAAAATTGTGAAGAAAATATAAATTGTGCTAACGTGATTTTCAATATTTCAGTACTAAATGCAATTACTTTCACTTTAGGAAGGTAAAAAATTAACTGTTGTTCATTGATGAAAAGCTGGCCCAAAAGTGTCCTAGAGTGTTTGAAAGAGAGAAAAGTTATTGTCCTACTATAATTCTATTCACTGGTAGCAGAATTTTTTTTCTTCCATAGTTTTAGCATTTGCATTTTTTATGCATAATCAAAGTTCTTGCTTTTATCTTGGTTCTTATTTTCTTGTCAATTTAATTATGCCGTCACAACTAAATTATAAAGTTTAAAAGTTGGCAGATACCAGGGAGCTCTGGTGACCTAGTGGCAAGAAGCTCTACTGCAATCCCAGAGATATGTGGTTCAAATCCACCAAATACTTGGCTGGAGAAGGAGGGACAATCTCCTCCTGTACCAGTCAGATCTGATTTGATGGTACATGCAAAAAATAATAATAAAATAAAAATTAAGGAATTTTAAAAAAGAAGAAAAAGTTGGCAGATACCAAGGTACAAAATAATATCTTCCTCAGATCTTTCCTTGTTCTCCTGTTTCTCACTCCTCCTTCCCATTTTCTTCCTGCTCTCTCTTCCTGGTCACCCTTCTTTATCTTTTTCTCTCACTTTCTCTTTTTTCTCCCAAATATGCCTCAGAAAGCCTAGTTGATTTAGATTTCAATTGAGAATATGCAGATGAGAGTATATAGAGGGAAAAAATTACATATTCTTATATAAATATGAATGTTTTAATAGTTTACTAAAGAGATGTCAAGTATCATTCTCTTCGAGAAAGAAATTTGATATTGTGAGGCCTCCTGAACTATAATTTAAATTTTTCTAAGTGTTCAGCGGTTATTTTCAGCAAATGTACAAAAGAAGTATACTTCCTTTCTTTAATTTTATTATTTTGCGTGTGTATACCGTCAAATTGGATCTGACTGGTACAGGAGGAGATTGTCCCTCCTTCTCCAGAAGAGCATCTGGTGGATTCGAACCACATACCTCTGGGATTGCAGTGCAGCTTCTTGCTACTAGGCCACCAGAGCTCTGAAGAAGTATACTTTAATTTTAACATTTTTTTATAAATTTGGATCTTAACTCTCATTACACAGTTGAATTGATAAGATAGCTGCTATAAATCTTTTAACTTATTATTATTCATAATAATAATGAGATTATTATTTGACCCTCTGGAAATTTAAAGCATAAGGAATTTGATTCATTCTTTGAGAACAGTAGATAAATAATTTTGCTACCAACAAAAAGTAAGCTAACAAAGTTTTTATTCAATAGCTAAGAATGACATTTTAAATCAAATGTGCCGCTTCCTCAATTCAGGAGTTCAGTACTTCACTAAGTATATTTGTCATCAGAAATAAAGTGTGAAATAAAATTTGAAAGTGGGAGGTTAACTTGCATTAGTATTGATGTTAAAGTGATGGAATAGATGGGCATTTTGCCACACACACAAAAATGAGCATTTATAAAATGTATACTCTGAAGACACCAGGACATGTCTAACTCTACAACAGTAATAATAACATATGTAAACTAACATATAATTTGTTTTTATTTTTGTTTTTTAATTTCTCAGTTTTCTTTGACTTCAGTTTATAAGATGATTTCTACTTCTACTAAAAGGCAACTTTAACAGTACATCATTATATTAATCATTATGGTTTCTACGGATATAATACATATTAATAGCCCTAAAAAACTAATGATGCTACTCAGAAACTGTATGTCTTATGATGAGTACTCTGTTGTACTTATAAAACCATAGAATACCTTTAATACTTTAAATGATTCTTCCCATGCCCTTCTCCCCTCCCCAACTTCATCATATTCATAACACAGTCAGTAAATTATTATGATTAGGACTTAATCCTAGCTGTTATTTAACCAGGATGTTCTAATAACATGAGCAATAGGCATCTGTTTTGTGATGGCATTATTGTGTTTTATGATGACTTACTTCATGCTTCCAGTTCTTCTGTTATTAACAAAGGTTTTATTGCCAGAATAATTTGTTCATCTTAGACTAATGCAATTATGAGGTGCCCAGCAAAAGTGCAATCATCTGATGACAATGAAAAACAAATGTTTATATTTTCATTTGATTATTATTCAAGAGTTAACCTCATTATGTAAACAGCATTCAATATATGATAGCAGATTTTTATGTTGATAAATAATTGTGGAAGGAAAAACAAAGCTACCACCAAAGCCTGTTTGGTTATTGGACACTTTACTGGCAATGTGACTTCTTTAGCAATTCCACTAGCAAGTGGCTGTGAAAAATGAAGGCATGGACACATGCTTATGGTTTACTGAACATCACTAAGCTAAGAAAGATGACCTGAAAGATCTCCATGGACAATATCCTCCAGGCTTAAGGGGAAATATGTTAAAGGACTAAGTACTTTTTTTTTCACCAAGAAAGAAAATATAACTACAGAAAATATCTCAAGTGACTGGAGATCTTTTTAAATAAACTGTTTAGCACTTAAAAGACAAATTTTAGGGGAGTGGGGAGAGGAAGAGAGGCTCAAATTTTTAAAAAGGTTAATATTTGTAGACATTCTAATAATACTGCTTTCTTAAAGCTGCATAAAACTAAAAAAATACTTTATTATTTAAAAAGGTTTATATATGTATAGTAAACTAAATGTCTTTAATGGTTAAATATTGAATATTTTCTAATTTTATTTGTTATTTATACTAATAAAATTAAAATCAGAAAAAAGTTTTAATTTGTCCTGAGTTTTTTGTTATGAAAGTCACTGAATGTACAACTCTTTTATTTATCGAAGAACTTATTTACATATAAGCTGTAATTATAGTTGTGCATGGTCAAAAAAAGGAATTTTTTTTTCATGTAACAGGTTACAGTTACCCACACAGTTAAGTATATGTTTAATATTATATAAAACTGGAAGCCATCTACAAGCAATAATTCATAAACTGAACAGTAAGCTTTAAGTAGGACACTAATTTGTATTCTGCTGTTTCATTTGGAGGTCAAATTCCCAAGCAATTATTGCTAAATTGTAAATGCTACTATTTTCTTACTTTAAAATAAATTCAAGAATCCAGTTAATATAAAAAGATCAATTAAAAAAACCCAGTTAATTTGAAATTATTGTGAGCTACCAGCAATTTCCCATGACTACAAGATTTTTTAGTATTTTTCTAAAAAAATTGTTCTTAAATACTTCTAAATGTATCTTCCTTTGCTTGTTTGATTTTGCTTGTTTGATTTTATAACTGAAGTTGTGTCAATGATCTCTGCCTCTTTCTTTACATATAATTTCATGTTAATATTTAAAGTAGATGGAACAAAACTAACTCAGAAGGGACCATCCTAGATTTATTAAATATTTGGAGTTTGATAAAGCCAAAGTATCATTTGCAAAGACTATTTTCTACTTCAATTATACATCCATACTTTATTAGAGAATTACAATTTTGTTGACTTTGAGTAATTTAAAGTTAAAATACTATTTAAAGGGCTTTGAAAGTCTTATCAATACTAAATATAAGTCTTTGGAAAGAAAACACCTTTTCTGAAATTCAGTAAGCCATGTTAGGTCAGGTTTTAAACACAAGAAGTTTGTGTTTAATTC